CCCCAAAACCCCAAAACCCCAAAACCCCAAAACCCCTCAGATTCCTGTGTTATTGAAGAATTGTTACAATTTATCAATTTTCTTATACAATTTTTTCACCTTGCTGAACTCCCTGTTCATTTTATAGTTTGTATACTGGTAGCTATGGAAGTCTAAAGGTGACCTTGAGAACTTACTTCCAATAGTCTTGTCATAGAGAGCCTTAGAGAATCTAGAAATAAGCTGGAAACCCACGATTTGAAGCTCTTCACGTAGTTAGGGTCATCTCTGCTTAGAGTTACTTGTTCAAACTTGTCTGGGACTACCATTAGCCTAGAAGTCAAAGTGAACTGTACTTGTTGATCCTGTTCAATACATCTAAAGGTAATAATTGAGCTTACTCGTGATTCCTAATTCATCCTCAATTTCCTTTGTCCTTTTCATTTGATCTATTGGCTTATGGACAGAATTTACGTAAGTCAGGCATACTTCTTCTGCTGGTAAAACCTTCTACACAAATAATGTTAAAGGCTTACTTAATTGCTTATTTCTTTGCTTTACCACCCATAATCTCTTCAATCCTGTTTTCATACTCACTCTATTGCTCTAAAACTCACTAATTACCTTAAACTCTTCATCATCTAAGAAAATCTCTAATTCGCCCATTTTCTCAATCTTAAGTTTCTCTGCTTTGATTTGTCTAAAGGTGACTGCTTAAGTTACTTCTTGATATCCCTGATGCACCATTTCACCATGCCGTTCATGACCACTTTATTTTAGTAGAAATTAGTGTTAATTAGTGAAGAATGTATAGCCCATAGGGACGAGGAAGTGGGTGTTTTGGAATAGATGGAATATGAACATTACAACAGGAATTTACCTTTATTTCTTCTTCCCCACAAATGGTAAGCTTAGCTCATTCAGAGGTTCCCTAGAGCAATTTAGAGGAAGCTTACTTCTTCCGATGTACCTTTTGTTTAATCTTCCTGATAATGTTCGGGGATAGGTCAGGTAAAGACATTTTTGCAAAAATTATTATTTTATTTTCAAAAAATTTAGAAATTTTAGGGGTTTTGGGGTTTTGGGGTTTTGGGGTTTTGGGG